AGTTTCATATTTTTGTGGTTTTAAAAAAAATACATACGGTTCAGAATGGATTAACCGTATTTACATTGAACCTTATGGGAAAATTTGATTCGGTTGACCAATTCGGTTCGCGACCAGAGTCATGGAACGGATTAAGTTCGTGAACCGAGGTACCACTGTACTGTGTGTAAGGCTACTGTCTTAACAGACAGACTTAACCATAGTTTCAACTGGGAAACTGTCAGCCTCTTAGACCAAGCCAAATCCCAAAATGCGAGGGAATTCCTGGAAGCCTGGCATTCAGACAAGGCAGCCATCACCAGGCACATAGAGATAAACAGCATTTACACACTGTTCAAAAGAGACAATAGAAAGGAAGACACAAGGAACATCTCCTCACCAGCAAGCATCACCCAGATAAGCAGAGATGAACACCAAGATTACCACCAGAGATACAAGCAGTAAACAATACCTTAACCAAGGAACTACCAGAGGGAAAAAATAAAATAAAACAAAACAAAACAAAACCCACACACACACACCCAACGCTGGCAGGGCATGCCACAGTATATAAGCAGAGAGCAAACCCTATCCCATTTTAGCACTGAAGGTGCTACCTAGCTGGGTAATGAAACGTCTGCAAGAAAACAGCCAAGTTCAGAGAACCCCAAGGACTCCACAGTTCAAGCCTGAGCTACACATATTCGCTTCTATCAGGAAAGAATCTTTTCTCTAACAGTCCTTCTCCCCCTTCCATGTTCCCAGGGTTGCCCAGATGTTCCGTTACAAGCTAAAACTCAGAGGATCACAGCCTCAGATGATCCACAAATGTACTAAGTGATCTTTGAGTGATCACTGTCTCTCTGTCTGAGCTGTCTTATAGGGTCCTTGTGATGATAACGAGAATGGAGTAAGCTGAGCTTTATTTGAGGGAGTCTGTTTTTATCCTTATCACATCGGAGAGCACCATACACTTTCTTAAATTCCTTAGTAGAAAGGAAAAAGGGAAGGCAACCATAGAAATGAACAAATTGAAGAGGTACTTATTGCAATACAGATAGTCCTTGATTTATGACCACAATTGGGACCAGAAATTCCATTGCTAAGTGATGTGGTCATTAAGTGAGTCACACCTGATTTTACAACCTTTTTGGCCATAGACGTTAAGCGAATCCGGCTTCCCCCATTGACTTTGCTTGTTGGAAGCCGGCTGGGAAGGTCGCAAATGGCGATCACATGACCCTGATACGCTGCAACAGTCGTAAATAAATGCCGGTTGCCAAGCGCCTAAATTTTGATCATGTGACCACGGGGTCACTGCAACGGTCATAACTGTGAGGACCAGTCGTAAGTCACATTTTTCAGTGCCATTGTAACTTTCAACAGTCGTTAAATGAATGGTTGTAAGTTGAGGACTACCTACATGACCACAGCAGGACTTATTTCTGAGTAGTACAGTGCTGTTAGGCCAATAAAAAGGTTACTTTGCAGTCTACGAAATACAATGTTTGTATAACACACCAGAGGGCTTTGCAGTTACCATCTCCAGTTGTGTTTCTGTTGCACTAGGAGGTCGCGGTTTTTGTTCAAAACCAAATCAACAATTTGTTCTCCCCTCTAGGCCTCATAAGTTTACTACAAAATGGATTGCTCTCCCCACAGCTCTGTTTCTTTATTGAATGACATACCAGGAAATTTCTCAATCCCCAACACAAACACACACCCTGGATCATTTTGTTCTCTGCATGCGTCGCCCCTCCGCGGAATTAATCATCTGAATCCCAGAAAGGCAGTGACAAATATAAACATTTCCTTTACCGTTTCCAATTCTGACGCCTTGCATTCAGACTCTTTGAGGAAGGGAAAGTGATGCGTTTGGGACTTTTGCTCACATTTTCTGGCGTGTGTGTGTGTGTAGCTGAGTAAAGCATTTAATGCAGAACATGGCCAAGTAAAACGAGTTTCAGATCTTGGGAGAGAAGTGCGGATAGATATTTTTTTTATTCAGGTGTAGCATCAGACACTATAAACCTATCTATGTGGTCACTAGGAGTTGAAAGCGACTTGGTTGGACCTAATCAATGAATCAATCAGACACCATAGACTGGTGCATGTAGAATGTCATGCATCGTACATATGCATTGTAGTGTCATGTACGATGTATGCATTCTTGACAAAGGAACATACCTTTCAGGAAGAGCAGAGGGGTGCTAGTCCAACAAATTGAGATTAAGGAATCGAGTGCCCTCCAGGGTGCCCCTTTTCAGAAATAAAGGTGAGATATGTGCCAGGCTGTGTCATCGGCCAACTAAATGCATTGCTGTAATGTTCTCTCCCTGGGAACTCTGTGTTATGGAAATGTTTGCTCTGCAATCTTTGCACGTTTTCTTTTTAACTCATTACAAGACCTCAGAAGTTCTTGGGAAAAGATGCCCTTCCCCTGTTAGGGCTGTGGAGTGTCAGGTAGGGGTTTCCATGGTGGTCGCTACCGTCAGAAAAATATTGTTTTAAATCGTTAACAGTGTCCCGGGGAAAAGAGTGATAAGAAATTTGGAACCCAGAGACAGATTGAAGAGCTGGGCAAGACAAGGGGGATGGGATAGCGGCCGGTAATTACCTAAAAAGCCGTCGCATTCAAGGGGGTTAGAAACAGGAGCAGGACCAGAATCAGAGGGTAGAGATGGCAAGGAAGGACATTCAGGTTGAACGTTGGGGGGAATTTCCTGACGGCCAGCAGTGGAACGTCTGGCAAGGATAGGGGTAGACTCCCCTCTCCTACTGGAGATTTTCAAGGAGGGGCTGGGTGGCTCTTTGTCGCGGATGGCTGGACTTCTGCACTCACCAACGGGTGGGACTAGATGACTTCAGAGGTCTCTTCTCGTTCATGCCTTCTACGATTTGGGCTCTACCCCCAGCACTGTAAAGTAAGTTAGTTATGGGGGGATGTGGAAGAACAGTGGGCAGATGAAGAACAGCAGGACGGTTGAAATGAAAAAAGATTCGGGGTAAATATTCAGAGCCCCCTCTTTTCTGCCTACCAGTTGTGTGACCTTGATTGGAGGGTGCGCAGCCCGTCCCATGCTTCCCACTGTATGTGTACGCATGTGTGCATGTGCGCGCGCACACACACAGATGCTTCCTATGGTTGATAAAGAGGTTGGAGGTTTTCTGGGTTCCTGATTAAAAAAGCAAGGCGTAAAAAAAAAATCAGCTGAAGGGAACCTTAAAAGAAATGTTAAAATGCTGTGGTGGGTAGAAGGGCCTCCAGATGTTTGTGGACAGAGGAGATGTTGGTCCCTTTGGCGAGAACCCGAGAATGAAAGCAAAATGAAGGGGAGCTTCTTAGATGGGCATTTTGGGGTGTGGCTCAGCTCCTCCAAGTCCTTAAGGAAGGCAGAGTGGGCGAGCATTTCACTGCGGTGCTGTCAAAATGGGGAGGCAGTTCGTAGGCTTGAGTTTCTGCTCATGCAGTGAGCCAGTAGAAAAAATGAGCCAGATGTGCACCACTGGGTTCCATAAAGCTATCAAATGCAGGCAATTACCCTGTTCAGTGTTTCTCAACCTTGGCAACTTTAAGATTTGTGGACTTCAACTCCCAGAATTCCCCAGCCAGCATGTTTTAAGATGTGTGGACTTCAACTCCCAGAATTCCCCAGCCAGCTTAGTTTAAGACATGTGAACTTCAACTCCCAGAATTCCCCAGCCAGCTTAGTTTAAGACATGTGAACTTCAACTCCCAGAATTCCCCAGCCAGTCTGCTTCAAGACATGTGGACTTCATCTCCCA